GCACGATTTGTTGAGTGAAAGCGGCAGATATTATAATGTTAAAAGAGAAAAGAGAATATGTACACTTTGTCGTTAAAATGAAATTGAAGATGAATATCACTTTCTCCTCATCTGTCCATCATATAATTCAATACGATGTAAATACATTAAAAGATATTACTATATCCACCCAAGCATCATAAAATTCTCTACCCTTATAAGCAGTAAAAAGCAAAATATATTACAAAATCTTGCCATGTTCATCCACATTGCAATGTTGTATAGAACAAAAGTTTTATCACTGTAATGTAAATATATTTATTTATGTAATTCCCCATTATATATGTATATGTACTAAAGGCCTGTGGCCTCTTCAGTACGAAATAAAGATTGAATTGAATTGATTGTTGTATTGTCCTAGGGGTCGAGCCCACGGCTACTCTTGTGAATGGACACCTCACGGTCGACTGGTCAGGCGTGTTTGACAGTTTCAACATGAAGGTTGAATATGAAGTCACCATCGGTACAAGACAAGGTTTTGCTGACATAATTCATCAAATGGTCTCCACAGATACATACTTGATGGCAACAGCGTATACAGATGCCCAAGGGGTCTTTTTAACAATCAAGGCAAATGCCATAACCGGGAAATTCGGCATTTATTCACGCTTTCTGACACTTTATTAGCTGCAAACCCTTTCAAAGTCTCCACTGATATGTTGTGTAGTTTAGCGTTGACCCATATTCAGGTAACTCCATAATAACTTTACGATCTGTTATTCATATCTCTCAAATCAAAGGCGTTTTATAATAGGCATTCGAAGGCGTTTTGTAATAGAAAACAATGCCCCTTAGTCTCATATGTATATTTGCTCCGCTTTTACATCAATAAAATCAAATGACGGTTTATATGCTTTGTTTCATACGTATATATGTATTGACCAGTACCTGCATACTTCACAACGAAGTGGATGTTTTAGGTTTGAGTTTATCTCTAACACATATTACATTTTGTTAGATGTGTCTTGTCTACTTCCTCTTTGTAACCCCCACCTATAACTTTAACCCGAAGGTAGGCTATTTTGTACATTTGGAATGCAAGTGCGCTGCCTCATGACAGAACATATTATTGTATTTCTTCGTAAGATCAAAGAAATCAGTTTGCGAATAAAATCTTCGTGGAGAAAGATATGCAGTTAGTCTTGATTTTATGATGTTATTTAATTGAATGTGAATGAGGTTGTCCTGGTGTGTGCCATAGGGGAATTACATTTCGATTTTAACATAAAACAATTTTCTTCAATATACAAGTATATTCAGTGGGATAGTTTTTTGTTGTATAAATGGTGAAATGCCGAAACAGTTTTCCTCATATTTTGATTTGAGATAATCAAAGGCACCAATGTGGTCAATAGGGTTCATGCTTGAAGTAAGAAATGTCAGAAGTGAGTATATACAGACCCCTGTCGTATAGCTCAAATATTGCTGAGTATTGCAATGAACAACCATCAATGCTGCTAAATGTGGTCAAACGAACACATACTCATGATATCATGATCATGCTAGTTAAAATTCAATTGATTCTTACGGATGTGGAAAGGGTTCCGTCGTTTCATATGATGTCTAAAAATGTAAATGGTAATACAAACAACAAAATACATTGTGGGAGATATATTTCTGGCCTCTTTTGGGTGTTTTAGTACATATATACCCGTATGTGAGCATTTTTGGCTTAATACCTCCCAAGCAAACAAATAAGCAGGTCTCGGCCCAAGAATGATATCATGAACAACGATCCATATCATTGGGTCGTGATGACATGCAATCAACCATGTTCCCGAGTCTCACCGCCTGATACTTAACAAATCAGCATAGGAGCCAAGAGATGCCAACCTCAACCATCTTAGTCGCTACAAATTTAAGCCTCCAACTATGCCAATACGACTGCACAAAAAATTCTACGAAATTTGAAGAAAATTCATTAAAATTTGTATATATAGACAAAAACATATATTTTCGTCGATTAAATACATTTTTGCCAAAAAGAGACAAGAAGAAAGGTAATGCTGATAATTTGGAAGTCTGCTCTTGGAGGTATGTGAAATTAAAGCTTCTCTCATGATACGTGTCATAGTATATTTTTCAGAACCCATCATAATTTTAAGTATTTAGTTGAGTACTAATTTTATGGTCAATCTACTAATTTTGATCCTTGAAGCTACTATTTGCAACACTTTGGGGTTGGCATATCTGCCATTCTAACCTTGGGGGTTTATTTTAATATTGAACTCAAACAAGAACATTGTTTAAAATGATTTTATTTTACACATATATCATACATGTAGATACACAATATAAGAACCATATACAACAACATCTTCAATATATGCATATATTAAAGGGTACAATCACAGAATCGTTAACATGAGTATACATTATTGACTGATGGACGGACTTGAGACATCACAGATCAGCGTTGATTTCAGAGTAAATGCAATATACAAGTATATCGGCTACAGGTGGATATATACATTATCACAGCTTGGTCTATATAACATATATCACTTCTAGATGGACGGATATTGACTGGATAGGAATGGTAAATTGATAAATGCTGCACTTTCATGCATGTTCCTTTCAGGCTATTATATAGAGGAATGTGAATACGAGGATATATGTGTTAGAATGATGTGTGATGTTTATTCAATAAAAATATCATCCTTTCCATCATGTTCATGAAAACAGATAACCCCTATCAATAGCAAGTTTGGACATATGGAACTCGGAGTGCGTACATGTGACTCATTGTCATCTTGCTGCTAAAAGATAATTATCAAAATGGACAGATAAAGGTTAACCTTTACATAAATATACTTGTTTAAGCCTTTTGCCAAAAAAAAGAAAAAAAATGTCAACTAAAATACGCTTTATTTCAAATCTGATTGCAATTGCTCTCAATGCTAGAATTTCCTTCAGGTACTAGAGCTATTATTACTATATACATTTGAAATATTATCATTTCAGTTTTTCAGTTGTTAGATTCTTGTTAACCTATATTCATGCGAAAAAATCTGTAAACCGAGAAGTGACTGAGTTTAGTTTTATGTCCGCTTTTAGCAATATTACAGCCGGGGACACCAGAAATGGGCTTCACCAATTGTACCCATGTGGCAAGTCGAACCTGGGTCTTCAGCATGACGAATGAATGCTTTAACCACCTAGGCCACCCCACCTGCCCTTTACTAGAAGTGACACTGTAGCAGAGAAAGTAAAATGCTCTGAACAACCTTATATTCGAGACATCCAGACATAACAGATTATATTAAGCTTCTTGTCCAGATGAAGCCTCTTGCCTCCATTACATATGGAATATAACATAAAACTGATTAATCATTTTTTTCCAGTCTTATATTTTCTAACATGTTTTTCAAATGATAGTATGAAGAGTAGGGCTACATAATTTTTTCCAAAGCTGAACAAAACTACAAACGCTCAAACACTAAGAAGCCAAACCACAAACCAACTTGTCCTGTACATTTAATACTGTATCAGGCGTCATGCTTGCCAGACAACTGAATTCAGCTTTGTCCAAACAATAATACTGCTGGTAGGTATTCAAATAATCACAAACTTAGGTCTAGTTAGTGCTATATGTGTTAAGTTGTTAAGAAACTTCAGACCCGATTTTAGGCAAATGAAGAATTACTTTCCCCAAAACTGAATATGGATTTTTAACACAAAAAGGAATATATTATGTCTACAATTTATGAGTAAGCTTTGTGGAAGGCTGTTAGGGAAACAGTTTACAAGTATATGGATGCAATGCTATGAAAGGGAGATAAGTGTGGTAATGATAATGTGTTTTGGTTCCAATTAAAGTTTTCAATTTTTGGAGTCATATGAAGTGTCAAAATTGTGACAGAAACTACAGGACTCTATCCTAGTTGCCACAATAAGCACCCTCTCTGCTTAAGAAATGAATGAAGTTGTATATTGGAGTCGCTGATAATGATTTTGATGATAAGCAGTTTCCAGTGTTAACAAGTCTAGTGCCACAGTAATCTGTTCATTTAGGTAAAGAAGACAGTGTTTATGTGTATAACACACATCCCATCCACCCAGCTTTATCTTCTGTGAAACACTGAAAAAGAGGCATCATTAAGGAATTGGTGCTTGTAAAGATTACTTGCAGAAAGGTTGGAACAATTATTGTAGCAGGGTATTTAACTCCTAATATGGCATTCACAGCTTTCAGCTCATGAATATGATATGTATATTTTTAATAAATGTTAGTGTGTGAATTCCTAAAACTAATAACAAAAATAACTACAAGTTAAGTGGCAATAATTAAGACATGACTCATGAGTGTATACCTTTATATCAGTGGTATTACCATTTATATCAGTGTATACCTTTATATCAGTGGTATTACCATTTATATCAGCTGTATAACATACCTTTATATTTATATCAGTGCAATACCCTTTATATCAGTGTATACCTTTATATCAGTGTATGGGTACCATTTATATATCAGTGTTACCTTATATCATACCATTTATATCAGTGTATACCTTTATATCAGTGGTATTACCATTTATATCAGTGTATACCTTTATATCAGTGGTATTACCATTTATATCAGTGCATACCTTTATATCAGTGGTATTACCATTTATATCAGTGTATACCTTTATATCAGTGTATACCTTTATATCAGTGGTATTACCATTTATATCAGTGTATACCTTTATATCAGTGGTATTACCATTTATATCAGTGTATACCATTTATATCAGTGGTATTACCATTTATATCAGTGTATTACCGTTTATATCAGTGTATATTTATATCAGTGTATACCTTTATATCAGTGGTATTACCATTTATATCAGCTGTATTACCATTGGTGTTGAAATACTGAGGTTCAGTATGTCGGAGGGTAAGAGTAAAATAACTTCTATGTATTAGAGTTTTGGGCCAAATCTTGAAGCACAAGAAGCACTATAAATTCTTTTTCATTTCAAGAAGATGTTTTCATACTTGTTTAAGCTATGATGCAGATAAGTCATAAAAGTGCTAAACAATTCTGAACTTGGATTGAGCCATGTTTGCCACCAATATCCCCTCGTGCATTTAGCATACAAACACAATTTCTGAAAAAAATGGCTTATGATATAACTCCTTGTGTATCTTGAGTATTCGACAACACAAGAAATTCCCTAATAGACATATAAAATAGACGCTAAAGAAATGATTATACTAAGTATCTAGACATACATATATGACATGTAAGGAAAGCAGTAGTTGTCTCCCTTTCCAATACAACTCCTCAGCACTGCATGTATTATGAACATGATATTGGAGTGCTGCCTGATAACACTGTACGGAGTACAGTCAACAATGTGAAACGACAGGTTGATGAAACATTCAGAGCAGACGGTAGCTTGAGGTGACTGTCTCGAGGAGAGTGTAGAGTGTACATCCTTATGGTCTTGAGGAGAATGTAGAGCGTATATTGTTACAGTTGTGTCGTGAGTCGGGAACTATCTGGCAGCGGTGAACATGCGGGTTGGGGATGATGGCCGTTGGTTGTACTGCCGATGTAGGTGACTGTATGCTCGCTCTAGATCCATCAGTTCCTGGATGAAAAATCATCATTGTCAGTCAAACGATGACAAAAACGACTCAACAATCATCTGGAGTAAGGTGAAATGGGGTTTAAGTGTACAACACTTCTTTGAGAGGCATTCTTGCTTGACAAAGGTACAAGAATCTGTATCGAAACATCGCACTCACAACAGTGGCTTATAGCATGAGCACCACTGTCTGAGGATAAAATACACATATGTTTGACTAAATTGCTGATACAGGATAAAACACCCAGCTTATGGTTACAAAAACTTACAGGACTCCCAAACAGAAATGTCATATCATATTCATAATTACAAAATAAAACCTACCCAGCCTTATTACATATGTATGGCACAGTTATTCTGGAAACAAATAGAACTCTCAACTTTTACCTCCATATCCTGTTTTATTCCACCATGCATGCTTGTTCATATTCATATTGTGAGTGAGTAGGATTTTATGCTGCTTCTAGCAATATTTCAGCAATATCATGGCAGTGGACACCAGATTGGGCTTCACACATTGTACCCATTTGGGAAATCGAACCCTGGTCTTCATCGTGATGAGCAAACGCTTTAACCACTAGGCTACCCCACTACCACATACTACAGCATTGATCGTCATCACAGACAGGCATCACTGACCTTTGTTTGACTGGACAGTGTGCTCTGTAGTTTATTCATCTCCGTCATCTTCTGTGACAGAGCTGCTTGGTTCTGTCGCGTGTGCTGTTCCGCCAGAGCCACGTCCTTCTCTGCTGACTTGAAGCGCTCTTCAAGGGAGGAAACTACCATATGCTCTCGTGTTGGACTTACGCTTCGTGCATGTGTCTGAAAACAGAGACAAACTGTTATTTAGAAGTGTCAGAAAAGCAGAGAAAATTTGAGAACAGTATTTGATTTCCATCACTGCATGTCTGCTAGGAGGAAAACCTTGGTGAGATAAAAGTCTCAGCTATTCTCCATACTGGGTGAACATACCGTAGATAAGTCGGGTTTTGCGGAAGTAAAAAAACAGTAGAAGGGGGTCAGCTTATCTACAAATTACACTTTCTGGTGGTAAGAAAACCACATCGTATCACTTTGTCTGAAGGGACAAGAGCAAACAATATTGTATCTGAAACTATTATATTACCAAGAGAAATATATTCTGGCATTGAGTTAGTTTAATTGCAGTTTTGGCTCTATAAATGCTAAATATCTATTATCATACTAAGGTCAGGCGGCAGCACTTTTTTGTATTGCGGGATAGTTTTTATGCATGGAAGAATTTCACCAATGTCATTTTGTGCGATCTCGCTATTTCAACTGCGAAAACACTTTGTTGACATGTGATCATCCAGCCTTAACAAATATGAATTTTAGCTAAACAAAATATATATACACATCCATTTCTTGTCACCTACACTTCATTTCGATGTGTGAGTAGACGCAATTAGATTGTGATTGCTGCGAATAATTCAGACCAAAATTTTGATTTTGATTTTAAGGGTCAAGCTTGGACCTCGACTTATCTATGAGATCGGCTTATCTACGGTATTATACAGTACCTATCTATGAAGTTGAAATGGATTGAACTGACTGACTGACTGAGTTTGGTTTTACGCCGCTTTCAGCAATATTCCAGCAACATCACGGCGGGGAACACCAGAAATGGGCTTCACACATTGTGCCCATGTGGGGATTCGAACCTGTGTCTTTGGCGTGACGAGCCAACGCTTTAACCATGAGGCTACCCCACCGCCCCTGAAATGGATTGGACCTAAAGATATATCCTAAATAGTGGTATTACCTGAAACTCCAGTAAATCATAGTTTTTAAGAGTTATGACCCGTGAATGTCAACTGATAATGTTTGTTTGCAACTATAATCATGGTGACATGCTTTGTGAAAGGAAACATCTGAAAACTGTTCCCGTAAAAAATAAAAAATACGACCATACAGGCCGTACTATCCCTGACAAAGAGCCATGTAACTAACACTCTTCACCTGTCTATAGTGGGCTGGGTTGGACAGGTCAGGTACAGACAACGTTGTGGAGAAGTATTTGGATCTCTGTAGAGAGTTATCTCCCTGGAACTTGTGCTGGAGGCTGTTCCTCACAGGGCTGACATACCGACCTTGAGTCTGTAACAACATACATCCGGCACAAATGAGAAAAATATATTTACAGAGATATTTACAGAACATATTGTGCATGAAATGTTTGGCAGAAATTCTGCAGTAAATAAATGTTATTTACTGTTGCAGAGATGCAAAACAGATACAACAATGTTCATAATAATCTTCTGTTCTTAGTCTGCAGCAAATGTGCATCAAAATACACATGTATTTCACTGATAACTTGACCAGTAAAGATCAGGAGTCATTACAGTAGTGACTACAATTATAGTCAATATAAAAATACCTTGATATTTTTCAGAAAATTATGGACTTTAAAGAATAACCAACACTAAAAATTACCAACAACATTTTTTTCCCAGTTTGCCTGATAATGGCACTTCTATTGGAAGTCTTGGGTATCGGAACTTTCAATTCAGACCATAGATTTTGTCTTTTTCTGTTGTTTATATATGCTGACAGTCAGTAAGTAATCTTGGACACACAATCAAGTGATCAACATCATGAGCATTGATTTACACAGTTGGGATATAATGACATGCGTCAAGCAAGTCAGAATGTCTGACCACCCGATCCTGTTAGTCGGTTCTTATGACAAGCATGGGTTACTGAAAACCAATTCTAACCCAATTCTTCACGGGTCTCAGACCATAGAAGGAAAATTATTTTCAGTGAAATTGGTACATCGTTCCCTAGTTGCTGATTTACAAATCCTCATGCGGCCTTATGTAGAGCCACCTACCAGGGCCTCTTTATGAATCTCCTTCTCTAGTCTGTCGATATCCCGCTGTTGTCGCTCGTTCCTCTCACGTAGTTCCCGTTGGATGTTCCAGTGCTGTCGCTGTTGTCTGCAACAGCCATTATGTAAATACCCATGTTTTACACAGCATCTTGTCTTTGACATATTATTTTAACAGTAATATACTTTGTATTGCTTGGAAATTTTACATAAACGTCACCTAGCAAAAGTAACCTAGGGTATATGTCTCATCTATCCAGTATCAGGCAATATATTTCCCACATTTTACATCTTGAAACATATCTCATGTATTCTGGCAAATATCTCAGTTATTATGCACCTGGCACCTTGTAATGCATGTCCTTATAATATATCATATATTCTGAACCTGGCAATATATTATGAAATAGATCATATATGTATCTTATGTATCTATCATTACAGTATCTAGTAGTAGAACATTTGAGCTGCACATTTTTAAGATGCATTTTTAATGTATTTCACAAAAAACATACTATTCAAAAAGAAACTGAATGAATCCATGAAATAGTTAAAGAATTAGTGATACGTCCACAATGAAAATGGGTCACCAAGATACAGTCATCCAAATGTGAGAGGAAGGTACAACTCTAAAAGCAACAATATAACGCACTACATGGTCAGAAAAATAGAAGGGTTTAGACAGGAACTACAAGATGTGAGTGCACGACACTTATCAACATTAAGAAAAAATTTACATATATCTGATATATGTAGCTGATGCATGTTAATTTGCAGGTAACCAATTTTATAATTCATTTCACACTTTAATACAAAAGACCTTGAAAACAAGAGTTACATTTCCAGCTGTTTGTTCAATTCCTCCTCAAATTTGCGGACATATTTATCGGTTGTTTCCTCCTTCCAGTGATGAATATTTCTCTTCAGGTCAATGATGTCATTGTCGTGCAGCACGTTCCTATCAGGGGCCTGTCGCAGTAGGTTGGCTTTGTTAGACTCATCTACGTGTTCCTGACAGATGGGTTGAAGAAATCAGTGCATTGTCATCATCCTCGATCACAGTGTATCATATCTCCAGCTTGTCATGATAAGGGACTGGTCATAAATGTAGGGAGGGAGGGTGGGTCAGTGAGATTGAGACATTGAGGGGTGGAGGGTTGTCGTGAAAAATGGCAAAATAAGAGTCACATTATTACTATTACCCTAAGAAATATATCACACTTATATTGTGTGATAGTAGGGGGTCAAAGGGTAAGACACATTTCTATTTAACAAATATAAAGAAAGCTTTCTGCGCTTTATGAACAGTGCGTTTTGATGTCAATCCTTCTTACAAGGAAAGCACTAAACTACAATATTTTCTACTACTGGCGGGGCAGTGGGGTAGCCTAGTGGTTAAAGCGTTGGCTCGTCACGCCGAAGACCCGGGTTCGAATCCCCACATGGGTACAATGTGTGAAGCCCATTTCTGGTGTCCCCCGCCGTGATGTTGCTGGAATATTGCTAACAGCGGCGTAAAACCATACTCAGTCAGTCAGTCTACTACAGTCAGTCTACTACTGGTTATTCCACTATGTGTGAACATCACGTCAACTTTACTGATTCACGTCATACTTCATATGGTGTATACACTACAGAACTCACTAACGTTCTCTTGCTAGGAAGACTGACTGACTGAGTTTAGTTTTAGGCCGCTTTTAGCAATATTCCAGCTACATCACAGCGGGGAACACCAGAAATGGGCTTCACACATTGTACCCATGTGGGGATTCGAACCCGGGTCATCGGCGTGACGAGCCAACGCTTTAACCACTAGACTACCCCACCGCCCCTCTTGCTAGGAAGATGCCATGTCTATAGTTACTGTGACTATCCTACATTGCATATCAACTAGATTCATTTAAAGGTGAAGGATGATCGACGCAAATAAAAACCATCAAATATTAACGATGCTGTTTAAAGTACTAGTTAGAACCTAGGTCTAGAAAGGTACTCCTATTGTTTTACTATGCATAGACTGAGACGGAGAGAGGGTGAGGAACATAAAGGTGAAGGTCATATCTAATCTACATAGCGTGCACCATCGGTGCTTGCTTCTTACGATAAAAAGCTGTTGTCAAATTTGAGCGCTCTTTCTTTTAATCGTCGAATATCTGACACTTCCTCTATCAACTGAAACCAACAGTCAGTATAAAGCTTGTTTTAACATAACTATAAAATATATATACAGTTATATCGTGCCAGCTTGATGTGGGAGAGAAGCGTGAAGTAACACAGGTACTGCAGATATCAACGCAAGTCTCTGTGACGTCTAATACTCACTGAAGTTCATCCTTGCATAGTGAAAACAAAAACAGCTTGAAAAACTATATCTACCGATCTGAATATGACCTCAATGTCAGACAGTGCCTGTTTCCTATGAAATAATCCATACAGTCTTCTAGTCATAAATATTTTCATGAAAATTGGACTACATTCACTGGCAAATATTGACTAACTTGTACCGTGCTTCATTTTCAAAAAGAAATCTACCCAACTATTTTATTCCATAAAGGATCATACTGTTTACATACTTGACTGGGTGAAATTATTATGAATTAATTACTGAATCAATCACTACAAGTAATCAAAATCCAAGTAACACCAGTGACATAAACACAGATTACTTACCCTAAATAATCGCTCTTTTAAACTTTCTAATTCTATATTCTTTTCTTTTTCTAAATCTCTTCTAAGGTTGTCTAGTGATTCGTCCTGGAAGGAAATATAGAACATAAACGTCAGAAAAGAGAGACTAAACACAACCTTAATCTACAATGTATATACTATAATAATATGCATCACAAATCCTATCCTTTGACGTATCAAAATCTGTAGAAACTTCCCTTCCCTGTGTTACAACGCACGACCATATGAGCTAGTGATCGTAAACCTATAAAACAAATCAGTGTGCGAAATAGTTTCCAAATTTTGATAGCCATTTGGGCTAGCTATGCCTAAAAAATACTAGCCCACAAAATAATTCACTAGCATGAAATTTGAATGTAGACATGTCATTAAGCTGCTAAGTTGTATGCTCCCCAGGGAGTTGAGATTGATAACACGATGTGCCGTTGAGACTAACATCCAATGATCGAGGGAAAAAATACCAGCGCCTTGAGCAAGCACTAGTTGCCTGGATATGTGCGCTATATCAATATCATATAATAATAATAATATGATGATGATGAACATTTTTTCAGGCCATAATCTTGCATAATTTGAAGGTGTGTTATAATAACTCGGAGATAGTGATGCACTTACAAAATGACCCCATTAAAATTCACTAGCCAGTTGGACCAGTGACTGTGGAGATTTACTGGTCCGAGTGGATTTTTACTAGCCGCGGGCTAGAGGGCCAGAAGCTATTTCACACACTGAACATAGTGAGGTTCTAGCTGTGTGGCAGTATGTACCTTGTCTCTCTGGGTCTTCTGCAACAGGTTTCGATGTGTCTCCAGCTCCTGCCGCAGGTCGGTCACGTGACCCCGCAGTTCCTCGTTGCAGGCCCTTAGGTTGGCCTACAATATCCATATCGTCACACATCAACAAAGTTCGCCCACATAAGTTTAATAGTGAGTGCAGTGATTAAAATTAACTTCAATTATACTGATTGACATGGCAGATTTAAAATGAGTGAGTTTGTTTTTTTGCAGCTTTTAGCAATATTCCAGCAACGTCATCATGGCGGGAAAAACCAGAAATGAGCTTCACACATTGGACCCATATGGGGAATCGAACCCAGGCCTTTGGTAAGACGAGCGAATGCTTTAACCACTCAGCTACCCCACCACACCTGTTTTTAATGTGTATGACTTGCGGCCCATCTACAGAGACCATATATATCTTCTTACCAGAGCCACAGTGATTGGTGTCCTGTATTTGCCAGAGTTGAGACTGCTGAAGGGCACAGGGCTACTGCTGCCATTGATGCTGAAACAAACAGGGAGGATGAGCCTCTGAGGAGTTAGGTACTGGTAGATGTCTGATTACATATTCTCAATCAACCTATTTAGTTCCCTCAGGGCAAGTTTCACGCCATTTTGTTTGTGCAGCATCCTGAAGTCATGTTTGGTTCTTTAGAATGTGATCTCAATATGTCAAGACAAAAAAGAGAAGTTTATTTGTGTTGTTTGGCTTTTAATGCTGCATTCAGCATTATTCCAGCTATAAGGCAGCAATCTGTAAATAATCCAGTCTGGACCAGACGATCCAGTGACTGACATCATGAGCATCGATCTACAATGGGATACGATGACATGTGTCAACCAAGTCAGTGAGCCTGACCACCCGATCCCGTTTGTTGCCTCTTACGACAAGCATAGGTTACTGAAGGCCTATTCTAACCCGGACCTTCATGAGTCAAAATATATAAAGCTGTTCAGATTTTTAATATATTAAGGTTTGCAGAATCCATAAAAACATTCTATTCTAAAGGTTGCATTAATCCTGCTCCTTAAACTTATCTTGAGTTCCATGTAGTACATGTCTGTAAATTACATATACCATTGTTTGTTTATCACCAGAATCAGAAATATTCTAGCTATATTATGATGGCCAAGTCCATACTGAAAGGGTAAAACCAACCAAGTCAATGGTTCTGACACTCAGTCCAGGTTGCTGTAGACAAATACTGACCCAGAATCCCACACAGACATGTCTTACCTCCCTTGATTGACTCTCCTGGGAGAAATACCAAGCACTCCAGCACTCCGGCGACATTCCTCATTCACCTCGTTGACCACCGTTCTCTCCGCACGGTCCAGGGCTGACGTGGTGTCCCGTTCGGAGCGGTTCATCTGTTGCTTCTCCGCCTTCAGCTGCCTCACCTCCTCCTCCATCACCTTGATCTGTTCCCGGAGTCGTTCCATCTCCCGGTGGTTGTCCTGTAGTTAGGAGTGATACAGTTTGACATAACGCTACATTATAATGGTGTTAAGTTATGGCATGCTACAGTCAGCTCTCGTTAATGGTGATTCTGACAAAAAAGGGAACCATTTCTGTGATAATGAAAGACATTTCGTTGATTTGTTGTTTAATTGTAAAAAACATCCGTTTATCACAGCCGGGTCGGACAATCAACACAGCAATATTCCAGCTATATATATTGCGGCCGTCTGTATGTATTCGAGTCTGGACCAGACAATCCAGTGATCAGCATCATGAGCATCGATCAACTAGTGGGATACTATGACCTATGTCAACCAAGTCAGCGAGTCTGATCACCTGATCCTATCAGTCGCCTCTTACGACAAGCATGGGTTGCTGACATCCATCTCCCGGATCTTCACAGGTCCAAATTCCTAAGTTATGCAGTTAGACACCAGACATTCAGTGCTTATGAACCGAAACATTTTTACGATAAACCATTATTTCTTGCTCACATAAGAAAAGCCACAATGTCAAGGGAGAGAGTGAGTTTGGTTTTAAGCAGCTTTCAGCAATATTCCAGCAATATCATGGCGGGGAAACACCAGAAATGGGATTCACACAATGCAACCATGTGGAGAATTGAACCCAGGTCTTCAGCATGACAAGCGAACACTTTAACCAATTGGCTACCACCCCACACTGCCAAGGGCTTGCATTACCTCAGATGAGTGCACATGTACAATGTGATTAGCGTGCCCATAAAAACAAGACATTCCATTTCATGAATATTCATTACAGGCCAGCATTTATATAGCCAGACACTTCAGGCACATGCCTACATGATATATCCAGTCATAACTTGGCCTGAGGTGTCACTCTTCCGGTTGAATGAGCAGAGTTTTTCTGTCAGAAATTCTACCACAAAAGTTCACTTACACAGATTCTAGAACTCATAGCACTGTGTCATTAGGCTTCCTTGGGCTTGTTACAGTACACAGGACTCTTTGCAGAGTTAATATACACAGTTCTTATTCATCGATACTACCACCATTATTTACACTAACACACATAAACCCACACTCATTATTACATACAATTAAAGCAATCAATTAACAATGAACCAATAACGTCTTATTGTACAGTTACCCCTGCATTAGCCCAGATGAATCTACTGATTAGGATCTTAATTTGTTTCTTCATTTATCCAGTAAGCCTATAGCAACTGAATTTACTAATTAAGATATTCATTACATTTTTAGGCCAGACCAATTTTATTTCTTGTTTTATGGATTTTTGTCCTAAAAAAACAAAAGGCAGGAGGGAAAAAAATAAAAATAAAATCACCAGTCAAAGTAATATTCCTTCTAAATATTAAAAGTGTTTTAAGTGTCAATTTATGCAGTGAATATGGGGCCCAAAACAATCCCAAAATAAGTTTTCTTGTAAGTTTACATTTGGGCCAATAAAACATAAGGATTTATTTTTTGAGCGGAGAAAATTATTTTTTTTTTTCTTCTTATTCTTGAAAAAATACGACCAGCGGATCCGCAAAACAAGAAATAAAATTGGTCTGGCCTTAATATACCCAGTAAGCTGACTGGCTATGTCTAGCTCTGGTCCTCCTGCTGTGTGTATCAAGGGTTAACAGAATCAGTATACCATTATGATGTCGTCATGCTATTGTTGCTGCAGGTTGTTATCAGTCAAGAATTCACTGCATTCTAAATGTGCATTTTCTGGAAGCAGTTCTGATACAGATATGTCATTTAGTCCAAAGGTATAAAGATATTGTGTATCAGTCTTTCGGGATCCATCCTACATCAGGAATAAACAGATTCTCATAATGTCTCAATTACAGAGTCTACACCAAGTGGAATTTATAGAATTAGATTGAAACATTTATAAAAATGATAAAACTATAGCACAAGCATCTCTTTAAAAACAGTGGAAATGTGTATAACATGCTTGGAGAGACTAACAGTTATTAACAGGGATGGCAACAGGAAAATCTATTTTCAGCTGACACGTAATATTGTGTCATCGAGTTGAAGGTTTCTCAAGTGGATTTAGACAATTCACAATTGAACAATTTGAAATAAAATCAGCGGAAATCCGCAGATCAGCGAAAAGTTGCCATCCCTGTATTAAGTATATGTCAAGCTACAGACGGAGATGTTTTGGGGAGCTACTTGCAAGGATCAACGCACCCTTTCTATAACAATAACAACTGTTTTCAATACTGAGTGAGTGAGTGAGTATGGTTTTACCCCGCTTTAAGCAATATTCCAGCAACATCACGACGGGTTTTCAATACTGAAGTTGCAATAGGATACACATTACATAGAAAGCTCCATTCATGACTTGTTAAAGACAATTTCATTATTATAGTAAGGTTTTACACCATGCAGCAATATTCCAGCAATATCACGGCAGGGAAAACCAGAAATGGGCTTCACACATTGTACCCATGTGGAGAATCGAACCTGGGTTTTCGGTGTGACGAGCGAACGCTTTAACCACTAGGCTACCCCACCACCCGGGTCTTTGGTGTGAAGAGTTTTATACTGCACAGTTTTGTTGTATCAAAGCTATGCTATACTGGTGATCATATCATGTATTTGTAAGTCACAAAGTACATTGAACATTCTCTCCGTGGTGATCACTGTCAGCGCCGACTTTACTGAAGGCTCTACCGGGAGGACATGTCACTCATCCTCATGTGGAGGTACGTATACATTAATACAGTGTATCCTGGTTAATCTGGACTGACTGTCTCAGGTAAACAAGACCATTAATCAACCAAACAAATTGCCATATCACAGAGTCATGGTACAGAGTAATCTCCCTTTTGTGTTTTGAGGCAGGGAGTAATTCCAGATGACAAATCTCTCTGCAGTGACATGCACATGTCTTCAGTCTGCTTTGTGTATTTTACACTACTCTAGCCTGATATAGTTCCTATCTTATTGTTGTTTGAGTTTAGTTTTACATGACTTTTAGCAATATTCCAGCAATATCATGGTGGGGGACACCAGAAATGGGCTTCACACATTGTACCCCAGGGTTGGAAATAACTTTAAAATTGCTAGTGTACTCCATTACAGTGGCACATGTAAAATCATTTGCCCTGATAATTTTTCTGCTATACCGGCCGATTTTTTTGGTGATTTTTTTATTTAAGCAACATAATTAACATTGGAATGTCCATCGGACACCGGTACAGCGTGATATACAAATGTGCTTGCCCGACAGAAAAAAACACTCAACTCGGACGTCGGGCAATGGGTTATTTCCACCCCTGTACCCAGGTGTGGAATCGAACCCAGGTCTTCAGCGTGATGGGCAAACGCTTCAACCACTAGGCTACCCCACCCCAGTTCCTACCATAGGATGTCTTGACCCATAAACATAAGACAAGACGTGTCAGTTAAAACACATCTGCATTAAAGATTTGAAGTCATAATATATTCAAAGTGATGGTGACAACCCCCACCCCATATGCCCAATCGCCCTGGTAAATATCATTTGTATTCATATTTCAAGCATGATCTTCATGATCTGCATGACCTAAGGGATCTGTTTAAAGTCATGAAGCTAGATACCTGGCTGCAGTTTTGTTGTATTGGAGCTTGTGTTACTGCACCTGTTTTGTGTGTTTTATATTCATCAAGGTGTTTTAACGTTGACCCTCACCTGTTTGACCTTGTCCTTGATCCTCTCCAACTCGGCAGTGTTCTGGTCGCGGACCATGTCCTTGGCTCGAGCTACAGCAAACACCTTGTCCTTGGTAGCCTGGCGGTTCTGGTGCCGCTGTGTGTCCAGCTCCTGAAACAACCAATAGTCTATAGAACAAACACGATAGTCTGGAACAACTACTGGTCCTCTGTTACAGAGTCAACTCAGTCCTCTGTGGAACAAGTCAGTTTAACAATATATCGTGCTGGATTAAATTATCCAAATTTTCCACTACTGATTCAGACATACAGTGCTTATGAACCGAAACATTTTTACTGGAAACCATTATTTCATGCTGACATAAGAAAAGCCACACCGCCAAGGAGTGAGTGAGTGAGTTTGGTTTTACGCCGCTTTTAGCAATATTTCAGCAATATCATGGCTGGGGACACCAGAAATGGGCTTCACACATTGTACCTATCTGGGGAATTGAATGAGGGTCTTCAGTGTGACGAGTGAACACTTTAACCACTGGGCCACCCCACAGCCATACTGATTCATGAACATATTACCTCAACAATCTGAAAACTATATGTAGACATGTAGTCTGCAAATTCACTGATGTTAGCATCTTACCAAGGTGTATTCCAATATTTGTACAGTGTGTGTTATTAAATGAGGGGCGGTGGGGTAGCCTAATGGTTAAAGCGTTGGCTCGTCACGCCGAAGACCCGGGTTCGATTCCCCACATGGGCACAATGTGTGAAGCCCATTTCTGGTGTCCCCCGCCGTGATATTGCTAGAATATTGCTTAAAGCAGCGTAAAACTAAACTCAGTCAGTCAGTCAGTCAGTCAGTTATTAAATGACATATTTGGATAATTTATGTCTGTCTAACAAGAAACGAGCCAGTGGGATAGCCTTGTGGGGAAAGTGTTCTGTCATTACACTTAAGACTCAGGTTCAATTCCCCACAGGGGTACAGGTTGTGAATCTATAGTCCTCTGATGTGATACAGTTGGAATATTGGCAAAGGCAGCATAAAATCCAACTCCTGTACTTATATATTTCAGTGAAGAATTTGAATAAATTCAGCAATATTCTAGTTTCTTGAACCATACCAAATGTCTTGGTGCAAACATCTCAACCCAAAACACGTTTGCTATGAAATAACATTTGTACCATGTCTGTCTGTGACATGGGGAAGAACTAGTCTGATAAATGTTCAGTTCATGGCATAACCTGGACTGGAGGTACTTGATGTGTTATCTCACCGGATGTCAAATGTAAGATAAACGAGTTTGGGCTTTCAGCGAACAGGTAGTGGACTAAAAGTCTGTACCATATTCAGTCTGGTGTAGGTGTTCCAGCATAGACACCACAAAAATGTAAACAGTCTTGTGGTGTGGTGATGTGATGTGGTGTGGTGTGGTGTGGTGTGGTGTGGTGTGGTGTGGTGTGGTGTGGTGTGGTGTGGTGTGGTGTGGTGTGGTGTGGTGTGGTGTGGTGGTGTGGTGTGAGTGGTGAGTGAGTGAGTGAGTGAGTGAGTGAGTGAGTGAGTGAGTGAGTGAGTGAGTGAGTGAGTGAGTGAGTGATTGATTGATTGATTGATTGATTGATTGATTGATTGATTGATTGATTGATTGATTGATTGATTGAGTGCTTGAGTGTGATGCCACTTTGCACTTTGAAAAGTATTTCAGTTATCAGATATATGTGTTTGGACATCATACATTTTCTGACGGCAGTATTTCCTCTTGCTATAATGACACAGGATGTAAATACTTGGGAGATCAATTAAGTTTAAAATACACTTTTTTTATAAATAAGGGACTTGTTAAACAGGTGTTCAAGCAATTAACAAGAAGACAACAGATGTTAATAAGCCCTGGAAAACCCATAATACAAGGATGCATCAAGGCATGTCAGTTTAATTTTGCAGTAAGTGGTGCAGGTAGCATATGTTTACAACTATGGTGAAACCCACAAAAATTCCCAGGTGACAACCCTAGACACATACTTCAGGCAATCACAGGATCCTGGCAATCTAAAGGACACAACTCTGCATGGCAAAATGGTTGCATTACACCCTACGTTGCAATTGGCCACATGCCACAAATAAAACTGAAGATATGTCTACGCCTTGAAAATTTGTATTGGGTAGTAAAAATTATATTTTGGTAAAAGCTATTTTATTGTAAAAACTTCACGAAACACTCTGTTTGTTTTCATTCGATACCAAAAACCAATGAAGTGTCCACCATTTTCAGCCTACAGGAAATCTCGCCATGTTTACGTAGACAGGCATCCAGTGTATATGTATGACTAGAAACTTATTTCACTCTGATAACACACAGAGTTTAACTATTAGTAGGTAATTGATGTGTCTATTACATTACCACATGTTCAACTGAGCACTAAATCACCCATAACTGTCTCTATTCAAAAGGGATTTGCTGGTTGAAGATTCCTGGAGCAGTGTTGAAAAATAATGACATAATTGGACCTTAGTTTGCTTGATCAGTCTTGTCAGATTGAAATCATGTAAACATTTACCTAACAGGTTTCTCACGGGTCACTGAGTGACCACTGACTGCCTTAAGCTTCCATTCAGACAGCTTTCGACCCGTGAAAATCCGGGGTAGAATAGGTCTTCAGCAACCCATGTGCTTGCCATAAAAGGCGACTATGCTTGTCGTACGGGATCGGGTGGTCAGTTTCGCTGACTTGGTTGACACATGTCATCGGTTCCCAATTGCGCAGATCAATGCTCATGCTGTTGATGACTGGATTGTCTGGTCCAGACTCAATTATTTACAGACCGCCGCCATATAGCTGGGATATTGCTGAGTGCGGCGTAAAATTAAACTCACTCACTCACTCAGACAGCTTTCACACTGTTAAACTTTAAAAAAAGCTTTTTACTTTCATTGTATAGCATTATTAAAGGAGATATGGAACCAAACGTGACACATTTACAGTCAAACCCTAATGTCTGGAATTCCAATACCTTAAACCTTTTTCCAAGTCTGTCTCACTGTATAAATACGTGTACGTTTATGCTTATCTCAAATTTGAGATTAGATACACAGTACTATCTCGAATCTAAGACTGTTGGATCTCTTTAACTTGGATCTCTTTTTGAAGTTGGTACAATATTTTTTAAATGTGGCACATTAACAGTATAAATAAGAGCAAATAAGTATTCCTTAACAGTGAGCAGTTCTCCCAGATGCATGCATATAATATCTAACCATCTAACATGTCTGTCAAAGTTCAACACGTTGTGTATTCGGTTATGAGTGAGTGAGTGAGTGAGTGAGTTCAGTTTTATGCCGCTTTTATTAGTATTCCAGCAATATCACTGTGAGAACACCAGAATCGGGCTTCACACAATGTACCCATGTGAAGAATTGAACCCGGGTCTTCAGCGTGTGACGAGAATGCTTTAACAACTACCCCACCACCAATATTCAGCATTCAGCTTTTAAGCCATTTGTAAACGGTAATGTTCCTGGTTAAGTTAGATCAAAGGAACTGAAGCCTTGTGATGCTTTTCACTGTGATTTATTTAACAAGCTTGGGGTGAGTATACACTTTGTTGTTTTGTTACACTGTCTGAATCATTCAGCAGTCGAGGATTTCTGATTGCAGCTACTGATTTGGGTTGATTAGTTGTTTAACACTGCACTCAGCAATATTCCAGCTATATGGTGGCGGTCTGTAAATAATCTAGTCTGGACCAGACACCCCAGTGATCAACAGCATGAGTATCAATCTACACAACTGAGATACGATGACATGTGTCAACCACGTCCGTAAGCCTGACCACCCGATCTCGTCTCTTGTGACAAGCATGGTTACAGAAGACCAATTCTAACCCGGATCTTCACAGGTTGTAAAGACTATGTACTTTGGGCCAGGGTCTTGACACTGAATAAAACTGTCAAATACATAAACATAAATAATTTGATTAATCTATTTAAAAGAAATAATTATTTATCTAGTTTTCTAAACTATATAAGAGGGACACACAAACCAATAATACGCATTTACGACATGAAAATAAGCCCCTTGAACTCAATCCCCTTCGTGTTTAAAATGGGCACAGATCAGCTATGTGTACACAGGTACCCAGACTGAGTGGTATACGACAGAGACGTGCTGACTTCAACACTGTCATACGCTCAGCGAAGTCTAAACTAACATATCACATTATTCAACTCACTGTTTGGTACAGCAAACAGGAAAATCAATAACTGAAAACTAATTCTATGTTCACCAAATATGCCTTAGTTATTTCAATAATTTCTTTCTGAAAAGTTAGGCCACAACCACTTTTCAGGTGGATGTTATTGATTTTTAGGGCCAAATTCAGGTTGGTGGTCCAGAAATATTAAATACATAAATCCCAGTTTCAGGGACTTTTTTTAAAAAATGTCCTCAAAGTTTGAAGAATGAAGTGAAGGCAGGAGTTTCCAGGGCAAATATTCAAAGGTTTTAAAGACAGAACATTAAATATTCTGTTCATACTGATAGTGGCAGCAAATAAATTTGTTCACATTTTACTTATTTCTGATCAAGGGGATTAAAAAACAACACAGCATTAAAAAAATATAAAAAAATATCTAGTTTCAATTTTTCAACTCTTAGGCTGTGCATGTATATATCAAGCTTGAAAGAAGTCGGCCCTGACTTTATTAGCAAACTAAATTCAAGTGTAATAACTTGAACCTGTCCATTATTACTTGAATTCTGAAATAACTGTATTTGAAATGTACATGGTCAGATGCCAGACAAGTATTGACATGTCACTAGTGAAATCTACCCCAGCAATGCATGGTACACAATGCGGACATGGTTAAGATATTGCTATCAGCTGTTGAGATGTGTGCAGGGTGTGTGTATATTTACATTGTCATTACTAGCACAATGCTGTCAGCATTGATTGATGGCTATCAACAACCTTAGATTATATTACAACACTTGAATGATGTCCACTAAACGTTAAGAGTGCTGTTATGAATACAATACTGGTTATAGGAAAATGGGTCTATAATTTAATGTATTAATTACACTAAGAATGGATGAACTGTCTAGCTCGTTCATAAATCATTCCCCACCATGATATTGCTGGAATATTGCTCTAAT